CACACACACACACACACACACACACACACACACACACGTATATATATATATCTCGAAAGCCCTAATCAAGAAAGTAGTTCCCATTAGTGGAATTTCTGGGAATTTAGGGGAACTGTGCTAACCACTGTTTAAATTCAGTTTTGAAATGTATAAAGGCATATTTAAAGTTCTGGAAAATGAAACTYTTTAATATAAGTGATAACATTTCCATGTTGAATATTTTGTAGTTACACCTTTAAAATAATAGAAAAACTAAACTGAGTTGCTACATTAAAAACAAAACAAAAAAACTGAGTGAACACCAGCACAAATATCAACAACAGATTTATTTACTGTATAAATAAGGCAGAGACATAATCACTGATTTTGGCCTTAAAATTATGCACAATTTTCAATAAGAAAAAAAAATTCACAGATGTATTCTCCAAAATCATGTTTCATTCTGGTAATACCAAAGCAGTAAACAAAAAAAGTGAAGCTATAACCCACTTTTACACAATCGTTCAGAAATACTTCATAAAGGAAAAGGCAACAATTCAAACCAAAATCATTTTGTGCTACAGTGCTTCACCATCTTCAAACAATTAAATGGGGGCCAAAAAATAATAAAAAAAATAAAGACATGTAAACAAGGTTAATTCATGTATTTTCACACACTTGGAAATCTGAGTCTACGATGCTTCATCAGTTCAAGATGTGCAGATTTAAGCACAGATGGTTCTGGTGCTGAAGAACTTTGGTTCAGAGAAATATGGTTTAAAAAGTATTTTTCTCTTGGCACAATTATGTTCGTTGTGTGTACCTTCCCTCGGAGAGGCTTTTTTGAGTAAAGAACTGTCACATTTAGAATTGGTTGTTAAAAATAGCTCCAAATATCTTCATCATCATAAACAAACATCACTCGCTTCTTCATAAGCAAACTGATTAACTGACAAAGACAAAGGGTTTGGAAAGTAAGACAGTGTTTGTCAAGAGAACAAAACAAAASAAGCTTGTGTTGTGCAATTATTCGCATACCCCAGTCACAGCAACTGGGTAAAAAAATAATAATTAGACACAAATGGAATCAAAAACATCCAAATTTACATTCAACAGTGTTGGAGGCTTCGTACTGTTCATCACACACACTTTCATTTAGTCTGATATCAGGTTAAAGTCAGCATTTCTAACATTGCAGCTCTTATAAGGTATCTACGAGAAGAATGACTTTTTTTTTTTTACATCAGATTATTGTAGAATAAGAAAATGGAATAATAAGAAGAAAAGGTGGGTTTGGCAGTAGAATTGGGTGTTCAAGTCTATTCTCTCTACAAAAACAAACACTGTTTAAAAATACCTGATTTAAAAGTTGTTAATTAAACCCATCAACTAGTATCTGAGATTTCCAATATTTGTTTAGCTTACTGTAAATATAATGTGCTGCACCTCCTCCTCCATAAGGTTTCTGGTGAATGCTTCATCTTTGTGTTCATAGGACATACTTCTAATATTCAGAGATTAAATTCCTGCATTTAGTTCAGAGTCAAACACAACTCACCTTAAGTATTCACTGCTGTTCCGTTAGCGCCGGACTGTGATGAGGATTTAAACTGAGCAGCGAGCAACACTTTCTCTTTACTTGGTCGACTCTAAATTGTGACTGAAAAGTTCAGAGTTTCTGTTCTGGTTTAGTAAGAAAGCAGCTCGCTGAGGGAATGTGTTGGTAAAAGACCCTGAGGACTCAGATCCCGTCGAGACTTCATGAGTTTTAACAAATACTGTAAACAATCTCCAGGGCTGAATCGGGTCGTCCGATTTGTGCTAGGAGGGCTCTGCGTTCCCCGGGGGGCTGACGAACGGGCCTCCGGCTGAGCGTGGATCCATGGCAGAGTGCATGAGAGTCAGCCACACGTCATCCATGTTTGGCATGACCAGGATTTTCTAAAACAAGAGTGACAGATGTTGAAAGAGTGGGAGGACTGCAAAGGCTTTAGGTCTTACTTGACACTGACATAAAAGTAGAAATAACCAGGATTTCATGAGTTTAATAGGAAAAAAGAGATTTTTATAACTATGGTGTGATAAATCATTTGTAGCTGCTGTAGTTTCCCTAAAAAACACACTACAGATATTTCTATTTGCAGGTTTACAACGACCACACCCTGGTTTGTTTTCTACATTTGTCTCACTTTTTCCTGATCCTGTCATTAAATCACAACACGAGCGCTTTATTGTACCTGGAACTCCTGTTCTAGTTTTTTCTCGATCCAGTCAGTAACATGAGCCAGAGTCACTTCTCTTTCTCCAAGTTTAGGCCGGGCCTTCAGCTCCAGGTGAGGCGGAGTCCTAAAC